TATTGGGATTTTTTTAGCAAAGACATGTCGCAGACATGTTGGCTGAAATATATGACGAAATTTGATTTTTCCATTTTTTTACTGGGCATGTTTTATAGCAAAAAGCCCAAATATTGTTGTTTTTTCTAAAAATTGTCAGACTTATTTTTTATAGTGCAAAAAATAAAAAATGCACAGGCGATCAAATACCACTGAAAGAAAGCTCAATTTGTGGGGAAAAAAGGAAGTAAATTTAATTTGGGTGCAGTGTTGCATGACCGCGCAATTGTCAGTTAAAGTTACGCAGCGTCATAACACAAACCGCTTATGTAAATACTGCTACAGGGTGGCACGGGTGCGCAAAATCAAATATATATATATAAAATATATATATATATACATGATTTGCGCTCCCATGGTTTTCACGCCCTTCCCAGATAGTGTCAGATTGCCCATCAGTACACCAGTAATCATATTTAACCCCTTGATTGCCAGGAACACAGTCATACGCAATAAACCTCCATTGCTAGTATAGTGTCTGAACTGATCAATATATCAGTATTCACATTAGTATAGTGTCCCCAAAAATGCAGCGTTAGCGGGATCAGCTCAGCACCTGCCAGCCCCTGCATTTAGCCCCTACGCTTACCCCCCCCCCCCTTCTCCCCCAGCAAGTGCAGTGTCAGTAGGTCACTGTCAGTTGATACATTGCACACAAACCCGCAGTGTTCGCAGAATCAGGTCTGATCTCTGCTTGCACTTGCCAGTAAATTTTGATGACTCTCTTATGCAGCAGAGTGCCAGTACTAGTGCCACGCTACCTTTTGGTGAACTGGCGAGCACCAATGGCTTAGTACATCCTGGTCTTTCACATACCAACACTGCAGTATCACTTGGTGATGTGGCGAGTCCTATAAGTGCAGTACAAGCTGGTGCGGTGGCGAGCACAAGTATTGTCCCACAACCACCAATAATTCTCACACAGGCCCGTAGAGCCCCTAGTAACCTTCCCGGTGTGCTTGCAAAACCCGATTGGCAGCCCACAAATTCTGCAACACCCGTACTTCCCCCATTCACTGCCCAACCTGGAATTCAGGTGGAAACAGCAAATGTATCTACTCCCCATGATTTTTTGGAGCTGTTTTTCACGGAAGATCTGTATACATTGATTGTGGACCAAAGCAATTTAAATGCACAACAATTTATCGCCGCCAACCCAAATTCAAACCTTGTCAGACCATTTGCATGGAAACCCATTATGGTTTCCGAATTTAAATATTTTTTGGACCTTACCCTCAACATGGGCATTACTAAAAAAAATAAATTGCGGTTGTATTGGTCCACAGACCCGATTCTTCACATGCCGGTGTTCTCTGCTATACATATAAGTTTCAGATTTACGAGGGAAAAGATAGTCATGTGGAGCCCCAGATGCCCAGACTACATGGGGAGTAGTGACAAGATAGTTTGGGACTTGGTGTCATCCTTTTTTCTTACGGGGTACCACTTATGTGTGGACAATTTTTATTCAAGTGTGCCACTATTTAAACATTTGTACAATCTTGGAACTGGTGCATGTGGCACCGTGCGACCTAATGTGTGCCCACCATTAGAAGTGGGTGGATGCAGGGGGGTATATTCTAATGTTGGGCTTACCACATCCTTTTTCTGGCAGAGATTTCTTCTCTTTTTTTCATTCAGCCCACAGGCTGCATACAAAAAAAAAGAATATAACATATATACTCAACAAGGACCAGCGACGTATTAGTACATCACTGGAGTGGTTATGCCAGGATGATGCCTACAGCTGCAGGCATCATTCTGGTATCGTTTTTGTGTTTGTATCAGCCGGCGATTGGCTTTCATGTAAAAGCAATCCTAGTGGCTAATTAGCTACAGGATTGCTTTTATAAGCAGTGGGAGATGATGCTCCCCCTCCCCCGCTGCCTTCTCGGGCAGTCCCGTGCCATCGGGGGAACCTGAGAATGCAGCCGGTGTTTCTACTGCTGACCATAGAGCTGACCATAGAGCTGATTGGAGACCAGAATGGTTCAAATCACCTTATTTGTGTGAAAAAAATACGTAAATTTCATTTGGGTTCAGCATTGCATGACCGCGCAATTATCAGTTGAATTAGTGCAGCGCCGAGTAGCAAAAAGAGGCCTTGTCATTAAGGGGGGTAAAACCTCTGGAGGGCAAGTGGTTAATAAATGGCCTCTTTAAGAAAAATATTTTAGCAGTTCTAGAAGTACACACAGCGATCTTGTCGCTTTCACCTGCTGGATTCTTTCTTGGTTCCTAGCCAAAAGGAAGAACCCTAATCGGCTGAACAGCCACATAATAAACAAAACAGTTTATGTTAATCTATGGATGTCGACCCAAATTGGGTTACATGTGTTTGGGATGGGTCACCACTTTGCTTTATGTCCAAGCATGAAATCAGCTGATCATTGGCAGGTAATAGCACACTGATTATGAATGACATCACAGTCATGTATGGGAGGGTAGAATACATGCCAGGCAGAGGGCCTGGGCAATTACTCAAGATTGTAAGTTGAAGAGATCCAGTGATAGTTGTAAGATCCGGTTCACACTGTGCGGTTTGGTTGCAGGAATTGCATCTGTTCCCCCAACCACATCCACCTGCAACCAAATCTTACGTGGCATTCATTCTGAAAGGCAACCCCACTCATCTCAGTTTGCAGAGCGTTTGCAGTTGAGCTCGAAAAAGCCCATGCGCTTTCCCTATGGCCGCATTTTTAAAAAGGTGCATGCGCTTTTTTTGCGGAAAACGCAGGCACTGCAGCTACTTTAAATAAATGGGTTGGCGTGCCCACATAAACGTTAGCCTCATGGCCCACACAAGTGTGAACCAGGGCTTATGGCCTACTACTAAAAGAAAGCACAACAAAATCTCTTGATAAAATATTGATAAAAACGATTAAATATGTGTGTTCCAACATTATGTCTCATGTATTTCCTCTCTCTTACTCTTTGTACATTGAGTAATATGTAGCTCTACTCTCACATTGTCTAACAGATCGGAATGTCGCCCTTCAAGGTCGAGCAACTCAGTCCTCAATTTTAAATCTGGTACAACATGGCTATCAGTCAGCAGCCATAAATGCAGTAGATGGGAACCAAGACCCGTACTTTTACCACGGTTCCTGCTCACATACACACAATGAACTGTCTCCCTGGTGGAGGGTGGATCTGCTGAAACCATACAAAATTGCCTACATCTCCATCACTAATAGAGGAGACTGCTGTAGTGAGAGACTGAATGGTGCCGAAATTCTCGTTGGAAACTCTCTGAGTAACAACGGAAACAATAATGCCAGGTAAGGATGATTTTTGCATATTTTTTCCCCCCTTATAGGGGCGAAGGTTCTTCTTGTTTCTCAACCCGATACTCTCTGCATCCCTTGATCCTACTCTACTCCAACAGGACTTCCATTAGGTCTTTTCCAGCCAATGTTTAATTTTCTTTACAACAGTTGGCCTTCATCCATCTTCTCTTGAATATCCTTTTTATTAATATTAGATACACAGAATATAACTGGATACTAACATTTATAGGTAAAGTTGATCCAGGGAATATCCGATTTCCTCTCGGGGGATCAGGAAGGACTTTTTTCCCTGCAGGAGCAAATTGGATCATGCTTTGCTGGGTTTTTTTTGCCTTCCTCTGGATCATCTGTGGGTGTAGGAATATAACTTTTTTTTTTAATGGTTGAACTGGATGGACTTTTGTCTTTTTTCAGCCAGACTAACTATGTAACTATGTAGCCACTTCATCTCTCGCTTCTATATACCCCTTATAGACCAGAGCAAATTTTACATTTATTCTGCGGGGCTGTTTATTCTATGATAACAAAGTAATACATAAATCATTTTTAGGACAAACAAGGCTTTCTTTTGGTGATATGGTCTTGCATGAATGAGTTTATGTTTTATGCAATCCATTGACAAAAATAGTAACGAAAATGAAAAAAAAAAAAAACATTTTCTACCTTGTCCAGTGGTAGCTTAAAAAAAGTTACCATAAAAAAAGTACACATTTTATTCTAGATAGCTTTTTCTTTTTTTTAATAAAATTTTTTTTTAATGTGGCAATAAAAAAGGTATTGGACAGAAAGCATAAAAATGAACACCCCCAATAAAACACACACACAAGGACAGGGAGAACATGTCATTTTGTGTTTATTTAAATCTTTTAAACATACAGCTTGTTAATAAAAACATATTTACATAAATACAAAAATAAAAAAAATAAAAATATATATACTATATACAAAACCACACAAACTTACATGAGCAAATAACAGAAAAAAAACGGCTTTTTTTCTGAAAATAACATAAATAGAACCATATGCAAAGAAACATTTTTTATCCTCCCTGACGGTATTCCCGAGTGTAGCTCGGGGTAAGGTTTCAGTACCAAAAGCGGTAACCCCGAGCTACACTCGGGCTTACCATGCGTCGCTGCTCCAGCATCTGTTCTTCACTTACCTTGTCCTGCGCTCCCGTGATGTCCCCTGTAATGTACTCCGGCGGATGCTGGCATCTGTCATCTGGGTTCCGTCCCCTGCGAGCGTCAGGGCGTACGGGGGACGGAACTGGCGGGAAATTTGAAAATGACATTAAGTGACATTCACAAAAATCACTAAAATCACTTAGTAAAACATTCCTGTATCAAACCATTTCACATACATTTTGTCCCGAGTGCTTTGTCCTGCGCCCTGCCTGTATTATTACTGTTCTTTCTGCCTGAAAACAGAGAAATGTCCATGGCGTTCAAAAAGCGTCCCTTTAGGTCAAAAGCGGTTTTAGACCGGCTAGAGAACAGCGATAGTAAATTAGAACCACTTGCAGAATTGAGTGATAATGATTTGTGGGGGAAATTTGTCATCAGACACTGAAAACGATTCTGCGACTTTGCTCAGTGATGTGCGAACTTGGCGCTATATTTCAAATTTCAGTGTTGTTGGTTTGATTATATTATTGAATTAAATGTATTATTATTATATTATTATTTTTTATGATTATTTATTAAATTAAAATTTATGATTTCGTGTTTCAAATTTTAACATACCCGGGATGTTTACTAGACTCTTGTTCGGACAGATTTCAGGGAGTTATTCCTAAAAATGACAGGCCTACAATTAAAAAAAAACATATTTCCATGCAAAAAAATGTACCGCTTTCAGCACAGAAATACAGACATAATCAGACCGCTAGGGAGGTTAACCAAGAAACTACTAAATTTTGCTAAACGCAACCCTACCTCCACCTAAACACACCCTCAGGCTAAGAAACAATTAAACATTTATCCCATGCATGCAGCCTTTTACCAAAAATCTGATCTTATAAAAATCTAGGGGATGTGAAAGGACAGAAAGAGAAGCCACACACCCAGAGACTGACAGACAGCAGTTACGGGGACCTGACATTCCTCTACGCCTTTGTCCAGACCCCTGGCCACCACTTGTCCTTCTCAAGAACCCAAATCTTCCCAACTTCACCAAGAATGTTGTATACCACCACCTCGGCAGGAAGGACTTTTTTCCCCAAGGAAACCTGACTTTGTGCATTCCACGTGTAGTAACAGTCTACTAAGCTAATTAAAAAAAGTGTCTCAAAATCAAAATCCCAGTATGTTTGAAAGGCTCCGTAAGACCACTCCACATAACGCAAGGAAAGGAAAGGGATTCTCAGAGCCCCACCCACCCGCTTGTAAACTTCTATCAGGGAGAACTCCCCCAAAATTCATACCAAATTCTCATCTGATTATGTGGCTGGCCAGAAATAGGGGTTGATCGTGCATTCTGCTCATGAACCATACCAAGCTACATGCCCTCAACATGTATAGGGGACCTTGCAAGGGAAAACCCTTCTCTCCATGTTGATGAGAACATGGGCCTCTTCCCCACAATCCTGCCCCAGTGCTTGTAGATGTCTGTGGGCAAGGGGACATGAATCTTGAAGCCCTTTTAAAAATAAGAAGGACCCAGATATCAGTCTCCCATATGTGAATGAGTAAAGAGTACATGCCACTCCATGAGTTGTGTCCATGATAGCTTAGAGGAAGTGGGATGAATTAATGCTGTCATTTATGCTGGAGGACATCCGCTGGCCAAAAAAAAATACTGTGGGAAAAAGTGCCAGATTGGAGGTACAAAAGTTATAAAATGTGTCCTCGAAATAAAAAAAAATGTTTTTTATTTTTTCACTATTCCTTTCCTTCTTTCTTTCTACTCTATTATTTCTTGTTTCTTTTCTTTATATAAGGGAGTTGTCATACATATACCGTACATAGGAAAAATAAAAACACAAAAAACAAACTCAACAAGTACAATTTCAATCTACAAGTGTTATTGTATATCCTTGAAAAGCGTAAAAAGCCCCCCAGTGAATGGATCAACACACAAGTCGTAAAATAGAAAATCTTTATTGGAGATGTATATTATATAAAAACCAACTGTCCCAAAATGAACTAAAACCACAATGATGGCCAATAATTAAAAAACCTTCCCCTTAGCACCTGCGGAAAAAATGTAGAGAATCACCTCTATGTGAAGAGCACATACATAAAAATGGCCCAAATTATATATATATATATATCATGGGGATGTCTTAGAGTCTATCCATTCAGTGATTAAACAAACATTCAAAGTTCTTGTTGGACGTTAAGCAAGATGTTGAATCTTCCCATTTGTAGCATGCCAATGATTGTTATATGAAATTATCTCAGCTACTGTATGTGGTTTAACGGTCAAACAAGGGAGCCACCAGTCTGCTGAGGTTGCCAGAAGACTCCAAAAGCAATTGGACTGTGCATCTTTCCATGGATTATTCCCACATCTGCTATGGGGAAAGTTTTTTTAATTATTGGCCAATTACGATTTTATTTAGTTTTGGGACAGTTGGTTTTTGTACAGTATAGATTTCCAATAAAGATTTTCTATTTTAACTATTTATGTGTGTTGAGCCATTCACTGGGGTTTTTACTCTTTTCAAGGGTACACAATAATACTTATAGATTGAGGATGAGCTTCAGTTTGGTTTTTATAGATTTTATTTTCAAGAGGCTTTTTCATATTTTATCTGTTATTGAGCTTTATCTTTTATTCTGATGTATGTATTATGTTGCTGCTTTTAAAAATAAATAAATGCATGTATTATTGATATTACTGTTATTATTGGTATTAATCATTTTCACTTTGCAGATGTGAGGTGGTTACCTCTATCCCAGCTGGAGCAACTCACAAGTTCTTCTGCCATGGCATAGTTGGTAGATACGTCAATGTAGTTTTACGTGGTAAAAAAGAATATCTTCAATTATGTGAAGTTCAAGTCTGGACCGCCGACAGGCATTGAAAGGGTCCTTTAAAAAGAACAACAGATGAAGACAATAATAAAAGTTAAAACGTACCGTGTTATGTGTCAGTAATCTGAAGAGAAAAAAGTTAAAGGTTAACTATTGCTTAATAAAGATTGTTCAGCATTATGTGTGTATTGTCAAAAGTATTTTCTGGCTTTCAGTATACAGAGCATGTTATGCGTTTTGGATTTAAAGGCAGGAGATGTATTAAAAAGGATAAAACACAAAAATTGAATAGAGATCAGATCTGAATAAGTAATATTTAAAATAATGGTGTTTTGATACTAACAGGGAGGCAGGGGGACAATTATTCCAGATCCTGACCTCATTGCGCTCATTACCAATGACCAGAGTGAGCGATAACATTGAGGAATGATGATCAAATGTGGGGATAACAATGAGAGGGAATATGGAGCATCTTTTTATAATAAATTTCACACTTTGTGAAATATTAAGTATACAGAGCTGGTAAAAGAATAAAAAAAAAAGAGGCGGCAGAAAATAGAAGTATGGAAGCATTAGAACATTTTGAATAAAGGTCTTAACCACTTCCATACCGGGCACTTTTACCCCCTTCCCTCCCAGGCCAATTTTCAGGTTTCAGCGCTCTCACACTTTGAATGACAATTGCGTGGCCATACAACATTGTACCCAAACTAAAATTTTATCCTTTTCTTCACACACATCACCGCTGGGGTTTTTATTTTTTGCTAAATTAACAAAAAAATACCAAAAATTTGGGGGAAAAAACACGTTTTCTTTGTTTCTGTTATAAAAGTTTGCAAATAAATAATTGTTCTTCAGAAATTTAGGCCAAAATGTATTCTGCTACATGTCTTTGGTGAAAATAACCCAAATTAGTATTTATTATTTAGTCTGTAGGAAAGTTATAGAGTTCACAAACTATGGTATAGATCTGAAAATTGATAAATCCTGAAGTACTGACAGCCAATCTAATTTCTTGAGGTCCAAGAATGTCAGAACAGTACAGATATCCCCCAAATGACCCCTTTTTGCAAAGTATACAGTCCGACATAGTTCATAAGAGGCATGGTGAGTTTTTTGTAAGTTGTAATTTTTTTGTCATAATTTTTCGTAAATGAAGAAATAAAAAAAATGATTTTCACAAATTTTTTTTACATACTGTCACCAGTGCAGTACAGAGTCATCATATAACTGGCATGACGGTGATCAGGGACACTGACTGGTGACCATCAATCTTGCCTCAAGTCAGTTCCCTGCAGCCAGTTCTTTAAGACACAATTGTATTAAATTGAAAGAGTTTAGAGTTTAAACTGGGGTTTTAAAAAATAGATTTAATGAAAAAGGATATGACGCTGTTTTTGGGGGGGATATAATCTCTTCTGTTTATGGACAGGAGTCATTTGCTTAAAAAAAAGCCAGAGTGGACAGAAATTGTATGTTTTTTGTTACCATTTATTACCTCTTAATCTACACCACACTTTACAGTGAGAAAAGTTATTTCTAAACACTGGAAATATTTTACAAGATGACAAATTTGTAGGACCATTATTGCCCCCTAAGTCCCAAATTTTTTATAGGGGAGTTCCATATTTCAGGATCAGATTGCCCGAAATGTATTTGATCCCCCAGTGAGATCAACTTTCTTCCATGATTTGATTGGGTACTACCAATGTAGAAGATGTTCGGTATGTGCTATTAACAGGTGTAGAGATATAAGTACTGTTTCCTTTGTCTCTATGGGGATGTGTAGAACATTTCCTAATAAGCAATTTATTACCTGCACTACTGTCAATGTTTTTTATATGTTGCAGTGCCCGTGTGGTTTTCAGTATAATGAGAGGACCACACAGGCCCTGAATGTTCAGTTAGGCAAACATATTGGTAATATTAGGAGGGATTTTAAAGGCCATACTGTGCCCAGACATTACAAGGCAGGACATAATAATGATCCTTCGGGTATAATTTTTTGCCACATAGACACATTTTCCCCACATTGAAGGAGGAGTTTCTACCATGGGGGAAATTTACAAAATGGAAACCAATTGGATTTACACTGTCAAGTCAAGTAATTTGTGTCCCCTAATCTGTGGACTTTTAGCACTCCCTGAGTCCCTTCCACTAGTACAGTATTAAAACCCTTTATGGTACATTTACAAAGAGAGAGGAAGAGAAAGGAGAGACTCTCTATGGCACTACAAATCCCAGCATAGCAGGCTAAAATTCCTCATTTCTGCACATACAGCATGAGGAGATGTTCACCACTGGGTCACTACAGGCTGTCAGCCTTTCTCCATTCCCTCACTCCAAGCCACACATCACCAGCATCATGCCCCTCCCCACTCTCCCCTCTACATCAGTGTCCCGACACCCTCCTCCTCTCAGCTGCTCCCTCTGGCCTCCTCCTCATCCTCCCTTTTCCCTCCCTCCCTCTGTCATTTGTTCTCTAGCACCAGCTACCATCCTCTGTCCCTCCATCTCTGCCCAGCTCCCTCACTCACAGGCAGCTTGAACGGTTCCCCAGCCTCAACTCAGACTTTCAGTCAGACTCAGTTGTTCCCCTGTTGGCAGGGGATCGCAGACGTTGGAGGAGGGGGGTGCCCTAGAAGGCCAAGGAGGAAGTTACCTTTACTCTGAATGCATTACTCGCTGGTTGCTAGATGCCAGTTGGTCCTACCAACCAATATTTTGACAGCGGCAGAACTTGGGATACCCAAGCCCCCTACAGGTGTATTGGCTGTATTGGTGTGATTACAGTTGTGTATACAATAAGTGCTGCACCATTGTGTCATATATAGAGTTCAGGGTTCAGGGGTCAGTAATATGTATCACAGAGTGCAGGGGTCAGGAGTAGGTAGAGAAGAGTTAAGAAGCCAGTACTATACAATGAAGGGGTAAAGAGTAAGTAATGTAGAATTCAGAGGTCACTAGTATGTATTTCAGAGTGCAGGGACCTGTAGTAAGCAACAGGGGTTGTTGTATGTATTGCAGAGTTCAGAGGCCAGAAGAAAGAAATGCACAGTGCAGAGGTCCATAGTATGTAATTTACAATACAGGGTTATATATAATGCACAGTGTAGGGTACAGGAATGACATTGAGTGTAGTGGTCAGTAGTATTTCATATGCAGGGGTCAGTAGTGTCTAATGTGAAGTGCAGAAATGCCACCCAGTTAGTATGTGCTTTTACAGTATATAGCACCCAGCTAGCATGAGCTTAGCAGTTATGAACTCTGAAAATGGTAGCCCCCGGTTCATTGGAGCTGAATGTACTGTTACAGTTTTGCATTTGGCTAGGGTCAGTGTCACTAATGGTAGTATGAGGCAATACCTGGACCCCACATAGGTTGCACAGGCAGTCCAACTCCTCCAGGATGGCACATCAATATGTGCCTTTGCCAGAAGGATTGTTGTGTCTTCCAGCACAGTCTCAAGAGCATGGAGGAGATTCCAGGAGAAGATCAGTTACTCTAGGAGAGCTGGACAGGGCCATAGAAGGTCCTTAACTCATCAGCAGGAACGGTATCTGCTCCTTTGTACAACGAGGAACAGGATGAGCACTGCCAGAGACCTACAAAATGACCTCCAGCAGTCCACTGGTGTGAATGTCTCTGACCAAACAATCAGAAACAGAATTCATGAGGGTGGCCTGAGGGCTCAACATCCTCTAGTGGGCCCTGTGCTCACTGCCAGCACCATAGAGCTGGATTGCCATTTGCCATTGAACACCAGAATTGGCAGGTCCACCACTGGCACCCTGTGCTTTTCACAGATGAGAACAGGTTCACCCTGAGCACATGTGACAGATATGAAAGGGTCTGAAGAAGCCTTTTAGAACATTAAGCTGCCTGTAACATCATTCAGCATGACCGTTTTGGTGGTGGGTCAGTGATGGTCTGGGGAGGAATATCCATGGAGGGACGCGCAGACCTCTATAGGCTAGACAATGACACCTGACTGTGGTATTGGGATGAAATCCTTGGACCCATTGTCAGATGCTACACTGGTGCAGTGCGTCCAGGGTTCCTCCTAGTGCACGACAATGCCCGGCCTCATGTGGGGAGAGTATGCAGACAGTTCCTGGAGGATGAAGGAGTTGATACCATTTAATGGAACCCATGCTTGCCTGAGCTAAATCTAATAGAACACCTCTGGGATATCATGTTTCGGTCCATCTGCACCTCAGACTGTCCAGGAGCTCAGTGATGCCCTGGTCAGACCTGGGAGGAAAAACCCCAGGACACCATTCGTCATCTCATTAGAAGCATGAATACAAGCACGTGGGGCCATACAAACTACTGAGGACCATTCTGAGTTGCTGCAATGAAATTTCAGCAAAATGGACTCGCCTGCTGCATCATTTTTTCACTTTGATTTTCAGGGTGTCTTTGAATTCAGTCCTCTGTAGGTCGATCATTTTCATTTCCATCCAACGATGGGACATCTTTACGTTCCTAACACATTACCCAGTCCATATCAGTATAGATATCCAGCATGATATTTTTCCCAATTGAGATCTGATGTGATTTCAAAGGGTTCTTTTAATTTTTTTGACCAGTGTATTTAACCTTAACCATAGCCCTTAACCCTAACAAGTGACTTTGGACACAGAAAGGTTCCTGCACTACTTTGATGAGACTGTGATGCTATGTTGATGCTACTTGAGTTCCAGAGAGTGTAAAGTCGCATCAAAGTTGCATCAAAGTTGCACTCATTCTAAGCTACATCAAAGTCACACTGCATGAAAAATGCAACACCAGCATTTCAGTGACGTTCCATTGAAGTCTATTGCACAAAACAATGCAATCTGCTGCGAATAAATGCACCTGCTCAAAACACTCAAATGTGAACTAGATCCATAGGAAATCATATTAAATGGACTATAGTGCATTTCTGCAAACTGGAAAACACAATGAAAAATGTCCAAGTGTGAACCTAGGGATAGTGTTGCCATTTATTCATTATTTGGTAGAGCTACACTTTTTTTATTTCATAATTTCAGTTTTGGGGTGGTTG